AAATTCGAGCCAACATCAAAACTTTCACTAGAAGATGTTGTTTTGATGCCCAAATATCCTCAAATTAATCATCTCGACATCAAGGTGCATGAACATGAGAAAAAAATGGATTTCAAGTATTGGAAATAGTGTATTTTGTAAAGTATATTGGGTCCGACAATTTTCAAGATTTTCAAATTTTTATAGATCTCTCTATTTACACTATTTTTGAAGCTTTAAACTTAATAAATAAAGATGAAAATATATTTTAGGGCTTTCAAAAAGATTTTCAGTATTAAAACTACATTTCTCGATACTATTTGAAGGTAAGCTGTAATTTGATAGTTTAGAGCCTAGGCTCTATACAAACCGCACCCTATATATAATATCTTTATATATATATATTTTTTGTTTTTTCCGGGCCTCAACAAATAAGTCCCGTATTTCGGGCTTCAGTACCAGACCATATTAACCAAGAGGTACGCTGAAATTTATTGCCCAACTTCATGCCCTAAAAATCTAAATTCGTCACAGGGATTTAGAAGGGAGAGGGAGAGGGAGAGGGAGGGAGGGACAGGAGAATTATTGTGTGATTTGTTTGGAGGTTTCGTTTCAGGAAGATGTCTCCTGGGCTTGTGGTGGGCACAATTGGAGGCCTCCTCCTCGCTCATGCCGCCTTCTCCACCATTCAATGTATTATTAGCATTCATCATTTGTATCCCTCCATACATATGCGTGCTTTTGTGTTCCCTTTGAGTAATTGCTTCACTTACTCATCGGTGCTTTTATATCTATGCAGATCGATCGGTGCTGAAGATCACAGAGGATGAGTTCATTGGGCCTCCTGCTAATGTAGTCTTGCTTATCCTTCAATTTCTTTTTTTCCTTTTTGATTTCAGATAACAGTAATGATCTTGGTATGTTCTTTCTTTTTTATTTTGAGCAGGTTTTATTTGAGCTGCTTATAGGTTTTGCTTTGTGCTTTTGGGCGTCTTTGACCGTGCCAGGGAGGTTCATATCGATCTTGCTAGATTCTGAAGAGAACAGGTTTGTTTTTATGGCATGGAAACACTTTATTGATTTTATTCCTACTTTTTGTTTTGTTCTTCTCATTTCCTTAACTTGTTACTTTTTTTTTTTTACAATGTTTTATTCGTGAATTTTATATTTTTGGTTTATTTTCCTCCTTTTAAAGCTTGTGCTCTTTTCTAACAGAAATCTAAGATATTGCTTGTCTATGGACATGTTTTCATGCTGAAATATTTTTATTAGTAGTGACTTGTGGTGAAAAGGTGATACTAAAGCATTGGTTTTGCCTTCTGTTAGTTCATTTAGGGCATCAAGACAAACTGGATCATTTTTTCATCGGCTGTCGTATGGAATTGGAACAATGTTGTTCTAGCTGTTTTTTTTTTTTAAATTTTTCATAGGTAGAGGGACATTGATGAATAATGCAACATTTAAGTATTTATGGGTTCGTATTTCTCTCAGAATTTTAGTCAAACAGATGTTTTTTTTTGAAACTAAGTGACAATATATTTTCATATTAATTCAAAGATTACAAAGTTCTCACGAGATGTGAGTGCTGGCATTCCATGTGTCGGGTGCTCCTGCAAAAAAGATGATCACATAAGACAAGGGAGTGTGTATATAGAAGTCAGATTTTCAAGTAAGAGAGAGTAGAGAGGGTGAAAGGTGAGGGAGATAGAGGATATAGATGACTGCCAGAGGTGGGAGACTAGAGAGAGCTTAGACTCCAAGAGAGAGATAAGAGGAGAAGAGAAAGGGTTAAGAGAAGAGAGGAGATAAGAATCTTCATTGTTGTCTGATTTAGAATAGAGAGAAAAAAGAGAGGAGAGGAGAAGAGAGAAAAGTGACAGAGAAGAGGAGAGAAGAGAGAAGAGAAAGGAGGAGGTGAAGAGAGGGTGAAGACTTAGTCTAGGAAGAGAGAGAAGAGGAGAAGAGAAGGGGTGAAGAGAAGAGAGCAGAGGAAGGGAGGGGAGAGACGAAGTTCTTCATTGTTGTGTCTGGGTTGGAGTAGACTGTGTCCCCTATTTTGCTAGCAGATCATCGTCTATGTCAGAAGTCAGCTTGAAGTGGCCTGCAAAGAAAGTGGACATGGTCGAAAATGTGGGTCATTATCCAAAGAGGTTCAGAAGATCTTGATGCCCATATGATGGCATTATGAGAGTCTGCCTCAACTATTAGATGGTTTCCCTAATTAGGATCCAATCTCTTTGAGCACTTTGAGCAAAGTGGTAGCCTTGGCCCAATAGGAATCTCTGCACCCAATGTGGGTGGAGAATGTGTGAATGGTATTGCTATTAGAGTCTTTGAAAATGCCTCCAGCTCCACATGGGCCCTAGATTACCCAAAGAGCACTGACCTATGTTGACTTTGGTGGTGCCTTGGGGTAGGGTTGTCCATATGCTCGAGCGAGGAAGCTTTAGGTGTTTAAATGTCAAAATTTCTAACCAATTGTTTTTGAATTTGGATGTTTTGAAGCCTCTTAATGATTTGCAAGTAGAAGCCCAGAAGATGGTGAGAGATCTTGCCTTTCTGCTATTGTTGTTGCAGTATTTCTAGCTTTGTGGAAGACACAAGAGTTTACTTCCAAATAGGTCTCCAAAGTTTAGCTGAGGAAAGAGGTGGGGTGAAGTATGCAGAGAATAGAAGTTCAATGGTCGGGGATGGACCCATCAGTAGTTGAGTCCCATAAATGTTTAGTCCAAACCTGTTAAGCAAAGGGACATTGTATGAAAAGGTTGGAGTGATGCTCCTCCTCTTCTTCACACATATGGCATCGATTGGCAAGGCTGAAACCTCTTCTTTGGAGTTGATCTATGGTAATATTTCTTTGAGAAACAAACAACCAAGAGAAAGCTTGAATTTGGGGGGCTTTATGGTCAATAGTGGAGGTAGAAGGTTAGTGAGGGTGAATGGATTTGTAAAACGAGTCTATCGAGAAATTCAGAGAGTGTTCTTTGGACCATATTGGTTTGTCAGGCTGTTCTCCCTTAATGAAGTGTGTGGAGACATGGTTGAGGAGGTTGAGTAAGTGATTAATTTCATGGTCCTACAAGGCTCTTCTCAAAATGGGTGCATTTGCTGGTTGATGTTTGTTTGGAAGTAAGTAGCAATGGTTGCATCTCGGTCACTGGATAGGAAATAGAGGTTAGGGCAAAGTTCTTTTAGTGTAGAATTCCTAATCCACAGGTATTTCAAGAACAAGACTTTGTTTCCTATGCTACCTTTGTAGCGAATCAATGCATAAAGAGTTCTCGGCAAGAGTAGAGACTTTTGACAAAAGCTGAAGTGGTAGCTTTTCTGAGATCATCTACTAGAAACCAATCCATGTTGTCAAAGCCATATTTGTGGTAGAGACACGACACGCCAAAGGGAGTTGTTATTGGTGGTGAAGCGTCACCACCATTTCTTGAGAAGAGCTTTGTTGGTTATTCTGAGATCACGAATACCTAGACCACCAGTTCTGTTTGGGTTGGCAGAACTTGTTCAAAGAGAAAAGGGGGATCTTATTCTTAGAGATGTCATAAGACCATATGAAGGCCCACAAATTTGTTGAGGATGTTGCCTGTGGAAGTTGGCATAATGAAAAGCTGGCCCACAAACTGGCTGGGATTCTAGATAAAACAAATTTGATGAGGGCAATTCTGCCTCTAAGGGAAAGAAAATGGCCTTTCCAAGAGCCAACTTTCTTTGGAATTTTTCCACAATGGGATCCCAAATGGCTTTCCTAGGATTCCTAGCACACAACGGAAGGCTTAGGTATTTTGTTGGGAGAGTGTCAGTGGAGCAACCTAACCTATCCACTAAGATTTGGAGATGAGCCCTCAGGAGCATGGATGCCAATTAAGTTTGGATTTGGACATATTGATTTTCATGCCAGAGTCCAGTTCGAACCATCTGAGGACTAACCATAGTTTGTCTATTTGAGCCAAGGACGCATTAAAGAAGACAAGGTTGTTTTCTGCATATTGCAAATGACATGTCTTCTCCAGACTTGGAGATCTTGAACCCCTCCAAGGTGCCATAATGGTAAAGCCTAGAGATGGATATGCCAAAGATATCGACGACAATAGCAAAAAGGAAAGGAGCAAAGGGGTATGTCTGCCTGTCAAAGGCCTCTGATAAGGGAAAAGGAACCCTTCAGTGTGCCATTGATGAGGACAGAGAAAGAGCTGGCGGAGATGCAAGCATGGATCCACTTTTGGTGAAAACCCTGGTCCCAAGTCCAGTCTGGTCTGGTCTGGTCTTAATATCATTAGTTTAATACTTAAATACATAATCAAGTATAACTCGAAAGTGAAGATGTACTCATCAAACTAATAATAGAAAATGTTCATGTAAGTTATTGTGTTAAATATCCTTTAACATTTAATTTAAGTTTGACTTACAAAAATCTTCTTCTGCACATTCTTGTTGCATCTCATCCCAGCCAGTTGTGAATTAACTATGAAGCAAACGTACAAGATTTTTCGACTTTCTAGGGCTTTAAGCCTGATATTGTGTAAATAAATATTTAGCTTTACATGTTCAGGAGGTGTAATTTTCTTTGTTAGTGGGTTTGTTTTGCTCGGTCATTGGGGATCCAGTCAATGACTTTATGTAATTCTTTGAGAATGCATCTGAAGCTAAATTTGGCTTCCTAATTTATTGGTAACCTATGGAGAGACTCTCTGATGAAGGATTCACACTGAAGTGGTAGGTTCAATTTGTTCCTAGATGGGTACTTTTAAATGAGGGAACATCTGAGGACCTCCAAAGCAAAACATTTATAGCCTTCATCTTAGAGAACTTTTACCTTGATGTCTAAGAATATGTCATGGATTTTAATTCCCATTGCTAGCTAAATTATGCAGTCTACACTTTCAGCTGGAAAGCCATTTGCTAACAAATATGAAGTTTTGCAACACTTTTGTCGTTGTGATTCATTGTAGAAGTGCAAACTAGAGATTCTACTAGTTTATGCTTGCACAAGTATGGTTCATAATTTTGAACAAAGTTTATGGTATCAACAATGTTAAAAAACATAATGGCGGTGGAGTTGGAGGGCATCTGTTTTTTGTTTGTGTGTGTGTGTGTGAGAGAGAGAGAGAGAGAGAGAGAGAGAGAGAGAGAGAGAGAGAGAGGAG